ACATTTACTTTTATCATTTACTTTATTATTAATTTAATTAAATTGAATTAATCCTTCGCTATACGAGATATAACTACGCTATATGAGATATAACTACGATATAATATATATTACGATATAACATATGACATATATGTCATTTTAGAAAAAAATTATAATTAACTTGCCGATAATATTGTTATTTAGCACCTGTAATAATCAATTTTGTTGCATTTATATAACATTAATAAAAGTAAGCGCAAATCTTGTGCAGTTTCTGCTGTCAATTTGTCATCAGGTTACATGCGCAGATTTTGCTCGATTTCTGTTGACAGGTTATGTTTTACAGACTCTGTCGCCAAAACAAAAGCTTAATGCGGTCACAGATGGCTACAGTCATAGACATAGTAAGTATAGACCGAGCATACATTGTATAAGCGTTAAGTATACGAAAAGAAAGACAAAAGATGTAAGATGAGTTTCTTTTTCTCTCTTACATCATCGTAGTAGGGAGAGCCTGCGCAATAGAATCTGCGCAATCTGATTTAAATACTCAGACGACGCTAATGTAATATAACAATTATAATTAATGATAATTAATAAAAAATCACAATTGGCATTTAATTGCGGACACATTACAACATACTGAAAGCTGATAGAATGTTTCTTCCAAAAATAATATAAAATTTTATATATAGGAACATTAAAAATATATAGGAACATTATATATAGGAACATTAAATATACAACGTGTCCCAAAAGTATGGACACACCTGATTTTCTTGGAAAATAAGCGTGCTAGAAAAAAACGTCAATAACAAAAGTTTCGGGAAATCAAACGGTGCATCTAAGAGTGACCTTGAGTTTGACCTTGAGCTTGACCTTCAAGATTATTTGAAGGTCAAAGTGTTTTTTTTTAATGGGAATCCCTATTTTTGATTGTATATTCTTATAGCTGACCTCGAGAGCTTTCCAAAACACTATAATAAAATATTTTTCCCTCAAGCATTTATCGAGTTATGAGGCTTCAAATCATTTCTTAATTTTATATAAACCGTAAAATATCTTGTAAAATATTCACTTTTCGATTATTTTACCTTAATACTTTTATGTACAAAATAATGAGAGGAATCAATTGGTGTAAAGAAAACATATAGTTGTTTTTAAGAAAAAATATGTAATTTGCAATTAAGTTCCATATTTTTTCTTAAAAACAACTGTATGTTTTGTTTACACCAATTGATTCCTCTCATTATTTTGTATATAAAAGTATTAAGGTAAAATAATCGAAAAGTGAATATTTTACAAGATATTTTACGGTTTATGTAAAATTAAGAAATGATTTGAAGCCTCATAACTCGATAAATGCTTGAGGGAAAAATATTTTATTATAGTGTTTTGGAAAGCTCTCGAGGTCAGCTATAAGAATATACAATCAAAAATAGGGATTCCCATTTAAAAAAAAACACTTTGACCTTCAAATAACCTTGAAGGTCAAGCTCAAGGTCAAACTCAAGGTCACTCTTAGATGCACCGTTTGATTTCCCGAAACTTTTGTTATTGACGTTTTTTTCTAGCACGCTTATTTTCCAAGAAAATCAGGTGTGTCCATACTTTTGGGACACGCTGTATATTAATATATAGGAATATTAAAAAAATCAAGTCATAATTTGCCTAAATAATAATCATTATTTATTGACCTTGAAACAAAGTTAATTTATTATTACGCATTCTTAGCCTATTAACATTATTTTGAAATTGTTCACTTTCATAATGTAAACGTACTTCTAAAAACTTTTTTAAAATTAATTTAATAATTTGGTGGCGATGATCAAATAAAGGAGATTGATCTATGAGACTCATCATCAAAAATTTTAGTTGGCATAAAACGAAAACATTGACAAATTAAATATTCTATAATATTTTTCTTTGAAAATAAAATGCTTTTATTATGCCTCAAAATTTTCTCAGCCACTTCACATATATTAATTACGTCGCTTGAAGCTTCAATTAGGCCTCTTCGATTTTGGAGGTCAACATTTGTCATATGATTCTTCCGCAGTAGAAGTTTGCTTATATCCTCCGAATATGTATTTTTATTTCGCAACTTATCATAGCATGTTTGACAAGATAATTTACGCTCTATATTTCTTATAACAAATCCTGCAACGTATTTGATAATATCTGTCGTATTCAGAGGGATTATAATTGCTTGACATGAAATAATCATGATCGAGAAGTATATTTTGGAATAAATTATCACTGTCGACATCGATGTTTTCATTTTTTGTACGTTTATCACCTGTCTCGGAATAATTTTCAGATAACGATAATAGTGTTGATAATAGTGTCATCTTTAGGCACACAATTAGCACTAAGAGGTACCGATACTTTCGCTAACTGTAAAATTTTCCTATACGAAGCTTTAAATAGCCTTACGCTAGGATTATTATTCCAGCCTCCCATTCGTCTTATTAGTGCAAAAAACGTTTCAATATGATCCTGTGACAGTTTATAAGTCAAGAAAAAAGTTATTTTGTCTTCGGATAATAGCTGTTCAGCTAAAGTAATAACGTTTTGCAAACAAATTTTAAAGCCTATAAAACCAGTCCTTACATTTGTTTGTAAAATAGGTACATCATTTATTTTTAAATTAGCAATATATTTAATATAATTTTCTACTTTACTCTTTAAAATATTTATATTTCTTTTGATAATTGCACATTTTAATTCAGTTTTATTATATAAATTCCGGGAATTCAATAAATCAAAAATATCATTAAAAGTTTTACAAAATTTTGCTGTAGCAGAAGCCCCTTTGAAATTAAATTCTGAATCTGTTTTTATCAGTTTCCTATCAACTTCTGCATGAAGTAGTGCATCACTAACGCTATTACTTAAAACCTGAGCAGCTAGATTCACTTTCATTTTTTCGTTATGAAAATAAATGTAACGACGACGAATCTTTACTGCAGGATGCAACCCTTCAAATTCTATAAGTCTGATCAATATTACAATAAAATTTCAATTTATAAAATTACCTTCTCCATCACGAATAATACCAGATTTTGCAAAATTATTTCGAACAAGTTTTAACATATGACACGGGTCATAAAAAATATAGAATAAAATTAAACAAAATAAAAGGCTCTCGAAATTAACAAATTAAAATAAAATATAGTAAAAGGCCATAAAGAGCCAACGCAGTTGTAAGGCGTGATTTTTGGAGAAAAAAGTAATCCATGAAAACGATCACATTAGACGATCTTTCTTCTTTATTGACAAACGTTTCGGACTCATTTCAAGTCTTTTTCAGTGAATCTGATAAGATAAAAAAGAATCAAATAAAATAACAATAAAAACGCAGTTCTTAATAGAAAAGAGAGGAAAACAAAAATTAGTCATCGTACATGTATAGTCTTAAAGAGCGAACGTGGACCCGTCAAGGCAAGTCAATCCGAAGGAAGCCAGATGCAAGCAATCCTTTGAGCGTTGCAAGGCGCAAAGAGCAATGCACTAACAAAATAAATGCACAAGATATAGATGTAAAGCCTTGCAATAATTATAATTAGACAAAGGCAACTCACTCCCACTCGAGAAGACGAAACAGAAACGGACACGAACACTCAGCGCGCACATGGTCGACTAGACAAAAAGATTCGAATACTAACGATAAAATGACGTCAAAATGTGATCGACAAAAACAATCCAAGTATACACTGAGGACAAGAACAGTCCTAACAAACAACAAACAATTAAATTTTAGATATGTTTTCGATTATCGATAAACATGAAATATTCAATTTTGACGTATCGCTGTGGAGATTCAACGCATTTCTTTGACGCTTAATATAGATCATCTCCGATATCAATCTCTTTCCCAAAAAAGTTTCCTCATCCAAAACCTCAATGTCGTCAAAATTAAACGTATGATCTAACGCTCTGTGCTCGGCAATGACGGACGTAAGATTCCTTTTATGTTCCTTAATCCTCGTCCTTAATAAGCGACCCGTTTGTCCCACGTAAGAACCGTCGCAATCTATGCAATTGATCTTATATACTATGTTGCTGCGCGAGTCTTTCTCCAAATTATCTTTGCCGACTTTAATAAAACGGTGCAAATTATTTATTCCAGTGTAAGAAATTTTGACATCTAGATCTCTGACCCAATGCCGAAAACGCTCAGATATATTCTTAACATACCCCTTACGAAAAAGACCGACGGGCGGAGAATTGTAATCTATGTAATCCAAACACTACAATAACTACAAAAAAATATTATAATAACCACACACAAATATTACAATAACTATACAAATATTACAGTAAATTTATGTGATTTTTTCGCACTACAGTTTATGGATTACAGGAAAATATTACAGAGGAAATATTACAGGGATTACACAGATCAGGCTGGCATCCCCCATGTGCGGAAATTTACAACGGAATCAGCTTTACTTCCCATTAATTTTTATAATTTAATTAACATTGATAAACGTGTTAAAAAGATTAAATAAAACGATAGAAATTTTTTCAGAATTTTATAAACATTTTGATGTTGTGTGTGTGTGTGTGTGTGTGTGTGTGTGTGTGTGTGTGTGTGTGTGTGTGTGTGAGTGTTAAGATTGATTGAGCTCAATCAATCTTATAAAATTTTGAAAAAAATTCTATCGTTTTTTGTTTTATTTTCTTAACACATTTATTAATTTTAATTAAATTACAAAAATTAATGAAAAGTAAAGCTGATTCCGTTGTAAATTTCCGCACATGAGACGCCGGCCTCACAGATCAAATATTATAGAGTGTGTTATATATATAGCAATATTACAGTAGTAGTTACACAGTCTGTAATATTTTACCTATGATCCATCACGTGATATATAAACAGAGAGCTATATAGAGAGCGAGATAAATTTTTAATGTAATTTTAAATGTAAATTAAGACATATACATTTGTTTGTGTATATATATACGAGTATATATATATATATATATATATATATATATATGTAAAACTTATACATGAAATAAAAAAATGTTTTAATACTGATAGTCTCATTTATCTTGACGATGAAACAGATGTTTGTTTTTTGGCATTGTTACATTTGTTTCGTACAGCGATGCGAAACAGTTTAGTATGATCCGCCGACCTCCCGAATTTCTGGTAGACATACTCTGAAAAACAAATTTTATATACTCTTATATGAATTTGTATGACTGAAATTCACTTATACGCGTGTCAAATGTTATAAATGCAATAGTCTTTAAGTACCTTCCACATCTGCTAATCTGGCAGTATCCAACTGCTTGATTTCCGCGTATTTATTTTTGTTGACATGTGCTTGCTTGCCGGTAAGGTAATTTTAAAATTTATTCTATAGTAACCGATTTAAATTTTCTTAAAATATAAAAATATTTATGATAATATTTCAAACAACTAAATGTTTTCAACTAAAATTACTCCTTAATTATATAAAATAATATTATAACAAACATATATTCATAACAATTATATAAATATAAATACCGTCGTAAGTGTTAAGGCTCCGGAGTAGTCACCGCGGCCATCTTGAAATCGTGACGTCATAAGCGAGAAAGGACACCCAGATTTATATTGCGACTGACATCTAAATAAAAACATATTTGAATGAAATAAGACTACCAATCTCTTCAGCACACCTGTAAAAATGGACGGATACTAATCCTTTCCTTTGACACTTTATAAATAGCCGTAAATTGAGTCCAAAATGAAGCCTTGAAAATGCGAAAAAACACGCGATTTGACAGCTGTCGAAAGGAGAGGAAAATGTTACTTTCTAAAGTTTGTTCCTTATACAGCTTAGTATCCGTCCATTTTTACAAGTTTTCTTAATACATTGCACACCACAACACTAGCACAAAGCAAATAATTATGAAATGGGACGCAACGTAAATTGGGCTGTCATTTCTCGCTTACGAGGCCATTTTTCACGCCTTATAGTTCACCGATTTATAACAGTGAGGCGCTGCATGAGAATTTTGACATGTAGGTAACGTGGGTAATATGTCGATACCATAGGTAATGTAGGTAGGTAATGTAGAAATATTTAGATGTAGACATAATGACCCTTGAAAAATGGCAAGCAAAAGAAATAGGAATAGGGAAGAATATAGGAAAGAGAGGAAAGATATTATTTATTATAATAAAAAAAATTAATATTCAAAACTTCTGTTATATATTATTTTATTAATATTATTATTTTACATATATATTATTTATTATTATATATATTTTTTTTTATTTTTTTATATTATATTATTTTTTTATAGTTTTCAATTATAATTAAAAATGAAAACTGGCCCAGAGCCAGATTCTCGTCCTCTCCATCCTCCTCTTCCTCCTCTCCATCCTCCTCTTCCTTCTCTCCATCCTCCTCTTCCTCCTCTCCATCTTCCACCTCTCCATTCTCCTCTCCAGTCTCCTGCATCGTCTCTTGTCCAGTTTCCTCTCCATCCTCCTCTCCATCCTCCTCTCTTCGCTCTTGTTGAATAATAACTAATGAACACAGAAAAGCAATTAAACAATTAAATTAAATGTACAAAATAGAAATAATTTAAAACTTTTTATATATATTTAAAAATACATACTTTTTATTTCTCTCCTTTAATGCAGTTCCTCCTCTTTTCTTCTTCTTTTCCTTCTCTTTTCTTTCATTTTCTTCGTCACTTGCTTCTTCTATACTCATCTCACTTTCTCTGTCCTTATCCTTTCTTCTTTCTTCTTTTCTTAAATCCTTTTCCAATCTGCAAATTCAATCATGTCGTTTATTAAATGTTTTATTTACAGGACTTTAATTTAAAGAATACTCTAACAAAAAAAAAGAAAATAATCTAAAAAGAAAACAATACATGTTATATATATACATATATATATATATATATATATATATATATTTATATAACATGTATTGTTTTCTTTTTAGATTCTTTTATATATATATATACACACACACATATACAGTGTTGTGCAAGGTATTTTATTTTCAGCACTGAGGTACAGGTACAGGTACAGGTACAGGTACTCTGGAAAAAATGTACCGAGGCAGAGGTATTTCATAATATGAAATATCTCTACCTCGGTACATTTTTTGCAGAGTATCTGTATCTGTAAGTCGATACATTTTTTCCAGAGTACCTGTACCTCCCTAGTAGCAGAATGACGTCAAATGACGTCTTAATACCGTCTTAATGACGTCATAGACGTCTTTAAGACGTCTTTAGACGTCATCTTGCTACCTGGGCTGTACGTAGGTACTGAAAATAAAGTACCTTGCACAACACTGCACATAATATATGTATGTATATATATATATATATATATATATATATATAATAACACACAAACCTTTTTTTTCTTAACTCTTGTTCCTTCTCTTCCTTCTTCTTTCTCTCTCTTCTCTCTTCCTCTTTCCTTCTCTCAATTTCATTCCTTCTTCTATCTTCCTCATCTTTCTTCATCCTTTTGTCATTCTTCATCCTCTCTGTTTCTTTTCCCATCATTTATCTTTTCGGCTGGATCTATTTATATAATAAATAAAATTAATGTATAAATATTATATATACGTCACTACTTCACGTTATTGTTTTATTATAGTATATTCCGAATGATTTTCTATTATAATATTAAAAGAATTATAATTATACAAGTATTTATTATAATATTTACGTATATATATATATATATATATATATATATATATATATATATATATACTCACATGTTGCTTGCACCGCAGTAAAGCATGGACTGGTTTACATTAACAATACTCGCCGCTTCTCGCCGCCTTTTTCGCTAGTTTTTTGTTTCCGTCGCGCGCGATATCTTATTACATCTTTGTGTGCTAAGTACTTTAACAATCGAGCGATCTAATAGACAGCTCAAGTTTTCATTACTTTCATAAAGTGATATTATGGAAACGCGTGAAATTAGTGAAAAAATGTGCGACGAAGTTAATGAACGAATTTATGGGAGAAGGCACAATACAAAAAAGTACCGATTATCATGCAAGCGGCTAAGCAGACGAAAATCGTCAATAAATAAAAGGTAACATTATTTTATTAGTAGAAAAGAAAGTAGAAAAATTACCGTGCACACTGTTCGTTATATAGCCAAAGTAATGAAAGCCAGTGTACATCAATCATGGTAATTAATCTTGGTATCACGGATTTTATCACGGATGAACTATTTTTATAAAGTAGTACTGTCAGTACCGTAACTAGGGCGGGTACTATCAGTACTTTATTAGAAACGTACCCGAGTGAAGCAATAGAGCGCAAAGCTCATTATCAGACATTGTGTAAAAAATTTTTTTATTGAATATAGCACTCTTTATCTGCCGTTGACTCTGCACCATTCAGTATGAAGACGGCATTGCACGTGCACTTAAGTCCGAAAGTATTACGCTGCAAACTAGGGTTCAATTTCAATCTGTTCAATTTTTTTTCCAATTTTTTTAATGTTTGTTTTTATGTCTTATGTTGCATGTAACTGAGTCACAAATTATGGTTATTTATGAAAAACAAAATTAATGTTTATTTATTTAAAAAAAATAAATTGAAGTAACAAATATGCGGTTTTTAAAAGAGTAAAACAATTTTTCTTATTTATAATGTATTTTATTTATTTTAAACAAAATTACATATATATTTTATTGGTTAAAAACAAAATTATTTCATATTATTTTTTTTTATTTGTTTATATTATTTTTTGTTGATTTTTTGGTATTATTAATTTTTTTCCTGTGTTTTTTTCTTAAAAGAATTATGTTAGTCAAAATAATTTTATATAATTCAACATTAATTCGTGTTTAAATCAATAAACACAATTTGGGGCCCAATTATACGTAAAAAAAATTGGAAAAAAAATCGGAAATAGGAATCGAACTTAGTTCGTAGCGTGATATTTTCGTATTCAAGTGCTCGCGCTACACTGCCTTAATGGTGAATGGTGCAAAGTTACTGATACATAAGGAATGCTGTATTTATTAAATAAATGTTCTCAAAAACGGTTGAGCGTTTAATCTTTTTGCTACACTGCAGTACTCCTCTAATAAAGTATTATACTATAAAAAAAGCTAATTATATTTATATATATATATATATATATATATATACAGGGTGTCCTACACCACCCGTACACCCCTTTTCTTTCAAAATCTAAACATTTTAGAAAAACGTTTTCGACAAAAATTTGATGGTTTTGAGGGAAACATAAGATGATGTCATTGGTTTGACCTTGGATGGCATCGTTAAGGTCAGGTCAAGGACACCTTTAATTTCTTAAACGGAACCACCTATTTTTTATTGCATATTCTTATAGCTTATAGCTTATGTCGAGAGCTTTCCAAAACACTATAATAAAGTATTTAATACTTTTACGTATAAAATAATGACAGGAATCAATTGGTGTAAAGAAAACACATAGTTGTTTTAAAAAAAAATCTGTAATTGTTAATTGCAAATTACATATTTTTTTCTTAAAAATAACTATGTTTTTTCTTTACACCAATTGATTCCTCCCATTATTTTGCACATAAAGGTAAGATTTTCGAAAAATGAATATTTTGCAAGATATTTAACGATATATGTAAAATTAAGAAATGATTTCAAGCCTCATAATTCGGAAAGTACTTAATAAAAACTAACTAAATTATAGTGTTTTGGAAAGATCTCGACGTGAGCTACCAGAATATTTAATAAAAAATAGAGAGTTCCATTTAAGAAATTGACGGTGATCTGCACGTGACTTTCAAATGACTCTCCCAAATCCCAATTGGCACTAACTCATGGCCCCCTTCAAACTATACAACTTTTGTGTGAAACATTTCTTTCTAAAGTGCATAGTTTATTGCAATTTAATTACTATAAAAAACAATATGCAAACGTTTTATTAATCTGAGATATTCGCGCATTATTCTCATCAACTCATTTTATTAATTTATAGGAGAAAAGAAAAATTGAAAAATATAGATATATTTAATAAAGAAATTAATGTATTAAATAAAGAAATAATGCAAGTAGAGCAAAATAAGCATACTTTTCAGAATGATGTAATTATGCATGATAATTTAGTTGCAATGGATATCGAAGTAAATATAGATGAGGAAAAATTGACACAAGAGCACAATGACACATTAGATAATAATGAGCTAACTTTTCACCAAGATAGAATTATGCATGGTAAATTAGCTGCAATGGGTCTCGAAAAAGATACAGACAAGGAAATAACGACACATACATTAAGTGATAAGGAATTGGGAAAAATATTAGAGGACAGTGAGACTGAAGAAAGTGACACTTTAATAACAGATAACAATATAGATGCATACCGCCTAGAAAGTAATACTATGCCAGGAAAATGTATCGTAGATTTTGTCTATCTTTTTGAACAATTACATGAAAAATTTGATAACCATAGTCACGGAATAGAATGTAGTTTTCGTGACTTAATATTTATTGGTGCCAGAGCGTATGGACTAAAAAATAAATTCTTTTTCAAATGCCGAATGTGCCATTTTGAAAGCTTCGTCTGGAGTGAGTCGCCCCCTGACAAAAGTCTACATGTAAATATAGGGGCAGTGGCTGGCACAATACTAACTGGTACAGGATATACACAGTTACAAGAAAGTTGCGCTGCTATGAATATTAAGTGCATGACAAAGAAAACTTACGAAAAGGCCCATGAAACTGTTGCTGAAGCATTTGCAAAAATTGCGGAAGAAAGCATGAATGCTGCTGCGAATGAAGAACGTGATTTGGCATTACAACGCAATGAAATAATAAATGGAATACCACATATAGCAGTAAAAGGTGACGGAAGCTGGATGAAAAGATCATACAGAACAGGTTGGTATGATTCTTTATCAGGTGTAGGCACAATAATTGGTGCACGAACAGGCAAAGTACTGCACATGTCTGTAAAAAATAAATATTGTGCAGTTTGTGTTACAGCAGAGAAGTTTAAAAAAGAACCTACAAATCATAAATGTTATAAAAATTGGGGTAGAGATTGTAGTTCAACAAGTATGGAAGCAGAAGCGATTGTAGAAGGATTTAAGAGAAGTATAGAAAAGCACGGACTAATTTATTCCACATTTATAGCAGAC